TCCAATAGCCAGATGATTTCGCATATATAAACCTAAACGAACATGCAAATTGAAGGATATTGACAGCTTATATGTCTACGTTTAAAAAACTAAAAAAACTAAAAAGCATAAATCTAGAAAACAACAATGCCAGAGCAAAAACTTTAGATTGCGATCAGAAGACATCATTTGATAATTATAACCTAATAGATATAAATACTGGTTATTGAGCTTAGGTGGGATGGATATACATTACAACAACAACAACAACAACAAGCCTGTCCCACTAGGTGGGGTCGGCTACCTGAATCATTTTTCTCCATTGTGTCATGTTAAAAGTCAAATTCTCGTTTAAATATAATAAAGAAAGATCATTTTTAATATTTTCTAACCGAGTCTTTTTAGGTTTACCTCTACCTTTCTTAACATAAGTCAAATATAACTTTTCTAACCGGGTCATCGGAAGTCCCCCACTTTATGTGACCAAACAATTTAAGGCGATTCTCTCCACTCTTATCTTCCACTGGAGCTGCTCCAACCTTTTCAGGTATATGCTCATTTCATATCCTATCTCTAAGGGTTAAAGCCACTCATCCACCTGAGCGTCCTCATCTCTGCAACACTACACTTAGTATTATGCTTCTCTTTTGATAGCCAACATTCGACACCATAAAATATTGCAGGTCTCACCACCATCTTATAGAATTTTTCCTTAAGTTTTAGGAAGACTTTTCTATCACACAACAAACCAGATGCATTCCTCTACTTCAACCATCCAACTTGAATTTTCACATGGATATACATTAATAACAAAAAATGGAGAGTAAAATAGATACATGAATAAATACATACATGTGAAAATTCATATACAAGACATTGTTATATCACTATGGATTCATGCAATTATTCATTGTTATATCACTATGGCAGAGGCTTCCAGCTGAAAAATAGTAGTGGAGTGTACCGGTATGCATATGGGTAAATTATGAGAATTGGCAAACACAGGAAGTGCCCTTCTTGCAGCAGCTGGAACATATTTCAGGTTTTGAAGAGCTGTTTGAACTGAAGATCTCATGTAACTGGAGCACCAATGTTCCATTGCTAAATGATGTCCCGTTTCAAAATTTGAAGTTTCCAATTCATTTCTGCCTTCATTCAGTGTTTGGCTTTCGGAAAGCTTTGCAAGATATAACCAATCCGCATCGACCATATGGCGTATTATAAGACCATGTTCCTGAGTAATTCTACAAAACTGACACAAATTTTTCCCATCTGCTTCTGATATGGGATTGTACTCGTTCAAGTTAGAAGAAACGCCATCTTTCATTTCACAAAGCTTCCAGGTTAATAAGAATCTACACATAAAATGGTACGACTGGCCAGGATAAATCTGTACATTTGATGGACTAGAAGCTCTAGCTCGATGCCCTAATTCATTTGCCTCATCAACACCATTTTGTGAACAAAAAATGTCATGTTCTTCCATTTGCAATGATCGAATGCTATTATATGTTGATTGACTGATAAGCTTGATCTGTACTGCTTCTCTTAGTATGGCTTCAGAAGATTTACCACGCAAAAAGGGCATACTAGGGGTTTCTGCGACAAAACTATTAGAATAAAACTTGGCATCTTTAACAATCTTCTCTATCACAGAAGAAAAAGAAGCGCCTTCTTCACAATAAAAGCTAGATAAGAGCAGCTTTGAAGAAAGTGGGGATTCAGGAGAATAGCAGACAATGATTTTTTTTCCTTTAGACCCGGGAGCTGCACAAAGATAACAACCGGCTGCAGTCAGAGAAGTCTGCAGGAAGTTCAAGAGAAAACAGTAAATACCAGGAAAATCAAGGTTCAAAACAAGCAAATATTAGGAAAAGAAACGCTACTGACACACATACATAAGATTATGAACCTTGGAAATTGTAAATATATTTTATATCTAGAGCTTTAAGTAGACAAAGCATTCTTCGCAGCGCACCAAAAAAAAAAGTGGAAGCATTACGATAATCTAAAGTGATGCACCCCGAGTAAAACAAGAGAGAGAGAGAGAGAGAGAGAGAGAGAGAGAGAGAGAGAATACACCATTAGAGATATCAAGATTTGTGAAATTTGACTTCAACCAAGCTTACACTGAGAGGAGAGGACTAGATCCACTAATATAAAATAGATGCCACAATTCAATTACAATATACAATCCAAGAGCACTCACCAAGACCGTTCCCAAAATCCCAAGCACACATGTACAAAAAAGAAGAATCTAAGAATTTTGCAACACAAATATTAGCTCACATAACAAGAATCATGTAACATAGAGCTTATCTCAAACAAAAACCCTTCTTCTTTCATATACTTCCAAGTCTCCTAAATCTTCCAAAAACCCTAGCTGCCAAGAGGGTTTGAAAGTAATAACGGTGAACTTCAATTAGAGGATTGCTTCTATCTTGATTGCATGTTAACAAACCCAACTAGATTCATCCTTTATGTATAGAAAGAACCAAACTTTTGCAAAATGAAGAAGCATTTCACATAAATCACGCGGATCAAAACTCTTATAGGTGGTAAATTTCAAAATGTCGAGAAAATATGTATCACTCAGAACATCTAAAGATACAATATTTATTCTTAAATATTGAATGCATCTCAACCCAATCATAATCCTAGATACATTATCATGTGTCATAATGCAACGAGTGCCCAAACTAATAGTCTTGCATATACTAGTGTTTCCCATATACATATGTCCATTACATAGTTTAATAGTAGGAAAGAATGAGTAATCATAAAACACATGAAAAGAACATGCTAAGTTAAGTACCCTCTACTCCTTGTGTTTATAACTTATCATAGAAAGAGCATCACAAGAATCTATTATCAATAATGTTTGCATCTTTTGCTCCATTTTTTAGATGATTGTCACTTTTTAAATTACTCCATTCTCTTCTAAGTCATGCAATTTCTCCTGATGTACCTTGCTTTCTGCAATAAAATTAAGACATATTCCTACCAACAAACTTGCCTCTAGAAGCAAATCCTTTCTACATTGAGCTCTCCTTCATGAACAGTACCTCATCCTATTTTTCTTCACCAACATCATAAAGTTTAAAGATCACATGCTTGAAAAAAAAAAAATTTGTTCACTTCCTCTAAGCTTATGATCTCTCATCTGTACAACTTAGTATCATGAAAATGCTAAAAAGAGAGGCAAAATCATGTTAAAAAAAATTTGAATCTCCATCATTTATAGTCACATCAATAATTCTCTAATCACACATAATTGTACTAAAATTGATTCAGCTTAATTGGTCTCTCTACATGCACAACAAATAGCATTTCGATGGACTGGTTGAGCCTATGGCCGCACTAGGGTGGACGGCAGGCACGAAAAACAAAGGGGATTAACTCCACTTTAATTACTACCATAGAAAATTAAAGTTGTAAGGGAATTGTGAAAGTTTATTTAGAGAAAGAAGGTTGATTTGAATTCAAATTTGGGAGAAAATTATGAAAGGTTTATTCAGGGCAAAAGGGCTAATTTGAATTTAGATTTTGGAGGGAAGTAGTAAGGTTTATATTATGGTTAATTGTGTTGTTTTATTTTCATTATGTGATTTATATTTTTTTTGTAGTTCACTTTGGACTTGTTCCTAGTGGCGCCTAGGGTTTGTAGAGATTCGATTTACCTCTCAAATAGTAGATCAACTTGTATCTTGGTTTGTTGTGCCGATATAAAATCTTTCTCGTTGATTTCTACTGCATTTTCCCTTTGTTATTGTTGTTTTTGTTGTGTGGAAATCATATTACTATCAAATTGATATCATAGCACCTTTTTTGGGAACTATGGCGTGCGTTGAAAGTGAAACTTGATAGGGAAGTTGAAAATATAAAATTTGAATTCGGAGAGCGAATTTCAGCAATTGAGGCCAGACATTCAAATATGGAGGAGATGATGAAAAGGATATTAGAGTTTCAAGCCAAGCCAGCATCATCGGAGGGAAGGGCACCACTTACTGGACAAGCAAGTGAGTGAAACCCTAATATAGGGACGATGAGGAAGGATTAGGAGGTGGCAATTTTGGGTAAAGAAGAGATGCCACCTTTGGAGCCACTTGTAATTACCTATGAATTTGTCATGTATGATCGATCAAAGTTACCAAGAATTGATTGGAAGTATAATATTATTATTGATGAAGCACAACATATGAAGGATAGGGAGTCTATCTTAGCCCGAAATCTTGATAGGTATCATTGCCAAAGAAGGTTGCTACTTACTGGCACACCTTTACAGACTGATTTGAAGGAGCTTTGGTCACTTTCAAATCTACTTTTACCAAAAGTATTTAACAATCAAAAAGCATTTCATGATCGATTTTCAAAGCCCTTTCAGAAAGATGACCCATCATATAGCTAAGAGGAGGATGATTGGCTTGAAGCTGAAAAAAAGGTGATTGTCACCCACAGGTTTCATCAAATTCTAGAACCTTTCATGCTTAGGCAATGTGTTGAAGATGTGGAAGGGTCACTTCCTCACAAGGTCTCAATTGTTTTGAGGTTTAGGATGTCAGCTTTATAGGGCGGGCGCCATATATGATTGGATTAAATCAACTGGCACCATCAGAGTAAACCCTGATGATGAGTTACAAAAGGCTAAGAAGGATCCAAACTACCAGATTAAGATTTATAAGAATCTTAATAACAAATGCATGGAGTTGCAGAAAGCTTGCAATCATCCTCTGCTTAACTACCCTTATTCAATGATTACTCAAAAGACTTTCTTATTAGGTCATGTGGGAAACTCTGGATACTTGATAGGATTCTCCTAAAACTATATAAAACAGGGCATCGTGTTCTTCTTTTTCGTACCATGTACCATGACAATACTCCATGATATTATAAAGGAATATTTAAAATGGCATCGACTTGTCTATAGAAAAGTTGATGGAATTATTAGCTTAGAAGATCGCGAATAAACTATTATTGATTTTAATAGCCCTGTTTATGAAAGTTTTATCTTCTTGGTCAACATTTGTGCTGCAGGAAGAGGTTTGAATCTCCAAACTTCCGACAGTTATTATTTATGATCCAGATACAAATCCTCAGAATGAAGAGCAAGCAGTAGCTAGAGCTCATCGCATTGTCCAAAAGAGGGAGGTCAAAGTTATATATATGGAAATAGTTGTTGACAAGATCTCAAGCTATCAAAAAGATGATTAGTTATATACGGGGCCATCAAAGAACATATTAGGCAGTATTGATGACTTGGAGTCCAGTGAGATAATACTTGGTTCATCCCCTAGCAAAACAGAGAGAAAAAGGGGACGACCATAAGGTCATCTTATATAGAATTTGATAATGAAGATGGAGAAGATTCTGATGCTAGCTCAAAGGAAGGGGAGAAATAAGATATAATGAAGATGAAGATTTAAGCGGTGTTGTTGTTCTACAAGGAAACATTAAAGATGCATTGGAAGAGGAGGAATTAGTTTGTAATGGTGCTAGTTATGAATTCCCAGAGGTCATAGAGGGAAGCAGACATAATCATGTTTATGAGGAAGCTGGCTCGACCGGGTCTTCTTTTGGAAACAGAAGATTTAGCTGCCTATTACCCCTTCCATGTCTCTACATAAATTGGGATCTCTATTTGAATTAGATGCTCGGCCAGGTGTTCTTTGAACAAAGCTTAATGAGATGAAGGAAGGTGAAATTGTTGTATCTGGCGATTCTTACGTAGACATTCAATAGTCTGGTAGTTGGAATCATGACCATGATGAGAGTGAGGATGAGCAGGTCATACAGCCTAAATTAAAATGCAAAGTAAGCGCTTTCACCCTAGACAATACTGTAGAAAGACGGGAAGAAAAGTCCAGAAGTTATAGGACTTTTTTTTAGCATGGCACTCAGCCTCCTTCATAAGTTCATCATGATAATGGTATGCTTTCAATGATGGATGGAGGGATTAGTGAATTCAATGGCCCTTTTTTTATTAGACATGACATATCACCCTCATCTTTGAAGCAAAGAACTAACTTCCCAACAAGAAGGGCTCCATATCAATAAACAAGAATATGGAGGATTAGTTAACAAGAAGATGCCCTGGATCATTCTAGGGAGAGTTGGAATGGCCACGCTAGATATAATGCTGGCCTTGGCTTTATTAGAAAAAAAAAAGTCTGACAGTATGCAGAGGAAGTGCAAGAATGCAATTAGCAAGTTGCAGAGGAAGATATATAAAGAAGGTTTTCAAAGTGCAACTATGCTACATGATTTATTGAAGAAAAATGATGAATCAAACCCCACAAGCAAATTTTTCAAGGTGGCTCTTTGGACTAAGTTCAATATTATTAGTCAAGTGCTTCAGCAGCAATATCTTTCGTTCCATCTTGAGAACAAAGTTGGAAGGGAGTATTGATGGACCAGCTGAGCCTATGGGCCGGGTGAGCAGCAGGCAAGAAGAGCAAATGGGATTGATTCCACTTTAATTACTTACCATAGAAAACTAAAATTAGGAATGAATCAAAAAAAGTTTATTTATGGAAAGATAGCTGATTTAAATTCAGATTTGGGAGGGAATTCTGAATGATTTATTCAAGGAAAGACCGCTAATTTAAATTTAGACTTGAGGGAGAAGTAGGAAGGTTTATATTCGGGTTAATTGGCTTGCTTTATTTTTCATTATGGGATTTGTGTTTTTTGCTGTAATTCTCTTTGGAGTTATTCCTAGTGACGCCTAGGATTATGGACAGCAAAACCCTACATGGGTCCTGGTTGGGTACCTATTGGGTACACATGCTTTACTCGGACGGGCAC